AGGACCAGGAACAGGACCAGCTTTATTTTATTGCATTAAAGCTTAAAAATAACTTAAATATATTTTTTCATTTCTAAGTGAATGAATTTTAAATTCGCCCGTTTGGTAAAACCTGCTGGTCCGTTCTCTGACCTGCAGCGCCATCTGGAGGCTGAACGTGGTCATCACAGAACCAGTCCGGACCTGCGGGTTCTGGTTCAAAATAAAGAACGTTCTTTTCTCGAAGAATCCTATTGAATCCAGTCATTAGGTCTGAGGAAGATGAAGATGAAGATGTCACTTTACCCGGCTTTTCTCAGAGTTTTGTGTTTCAGGTTCTGTGAAGTTCTAGAAGCCGTCTGGATCCGTCCCGAACTCTCCGATGGTTCCGGTTCTTCTCACGGTTTAAAAACATACCTGTTAATCTAGCAGGTTTCTATGGAAACCAGCTCAGCCTCTGAAGTTACCCTACCCTTTATGAACCAAAACGTAACTGCAGGAATAAGGATTTCATCTGGAAACTTTTATTTTATTTTATTTTATTTTATTTTATTTTATTTTATTTTGCAGGTCAGTTTGGTCGGATCCTTGCAGGATCAGGTTTGAGATCATTTCCTTTGGATCTGAGTTTTTATTTAAGAATTTTTATTTTTATTTAGGTTCCAAAATGAATATAATTTCATCTTTGCATTTTCTTGTATTTCTTTGTCATTTTTCTTCTTTACTTTATTTATTTATAATAAAATAGTTGGTCTTTGTCTAAAAATGTCAGTTTTTTTTTTATTAAAACATTTCACATTGTAAATGTTCATAAAGGCATTTTTTTCACTAAGACTCTGGAAGGATTTTACATTTTATTCAGGAGTATAAATAAATAATAATTTATCTTTTATGTTGATTAATGTTTTGTTTTCATTTTATGAATAAACTGATTTATCGGACCTAAAATCTAAATGTCCAGATTCAGTCTCTGTGTTGTTGCAGAGCTCCAGCTCGGCCAGCAGGTGGCAGTCAAACACCGGAAGGAAAACATTTAACGGTAAAACCGGAACATAAAAACTATTTCAGATTTTATGAAGTTGATGAGCTTTAAGCCAGAATTTCTCCGAGATTTAAATTATATTCCAACATCAATATTCAGATTAAATATGATTGTTATTCACGTAAATGTTTGTCAGATTTAATAGTTATCAAATGAAATAATGGAGTTTTTTTTTATTTAACAAAAGTTGTAAATTAACAACTAAATTTATTGCAAAACAAAAATCTGTACAAGTAATTCAGTGAGTTTCCTGCAGTTTTTTAATAAATAATGGATAATTTGGTTCATACTTCGCTGTCACTTGTTGCTGCTCTGGGTTGTTAATAAAGTTTTAGGAGGAAAGAAAAAATGTGGCAAGGTGAGTGTTGTGCGCATGCGCAGTTCGTTTCTGTGGAGTTTGATCTTTGATCTGCAGCAGGATGGTGAGTTGGGCCTTTTTTATGTTCTGGTTCTGGTTCTGATCTGAAGCCAAACTTTTCTTTGGGTTCCAGCAGAATAAACAGATGAAGGATCAGTTTCCTGTTTCCTGTTGGACAGAACAGGAAAAAGTTCAACTTTGACCCAAAGTGTCATCAGCGTTATCTGGAAATGATTAATTTTCTGCTTCAGCTGCAGATGACTGTCTAGAATTCTGGTTCTGGGTTTTTGGACTCGTTAAATGATCCGAACGTGTTGAAATAAATTCATGTTCAGAATCAGCAGCAGATGGAACAAATTCAGTTAAAATAGTAAATAAGAATCAAATAAATAAAACGGTACAAAGCACAGAGTAGAGCCGCTGCTCCGGCTGACGGACATCTGGTCAGGATGGAGCCCACCGGGGGGCCCAGGGGGTGACCCGGACATTCGGGGCCCAGGGGACGACCCGGACATTCGGGGCCCAGGGGACGACCCGGACATTCGGGGCCCAGGGGACGACCCGGACATTCAGGGCCCAGGGTACGACCCGGACATTCGGGGCCCAGGGGACGACCCGGACAGGCTGCAGGGACGGCGTTCCTCTGCTGGGAACGCTGTGGGATTCCTGGAATCTGGCGGAGGGACGTCTGAGCCTCCTGCTGAGCCCGGATAAGAGGAAGAAGATGGATGGATAAAATGTAAATCAAACCAGAATTCATAATTAATGAACTGAAGAATGATGACAATGATTTAATTAATTATATAAATATAAATCATAATTATAGGAGTTACTTATTCTTTCTTTTTATTATTGAATTTAATTTGTTGTTAGTTTATTTGATATTTTTAGGTTATTTACAAGTTTTAGTTGCAAGTTAAGAATTTTACATTTTGTTTGTCTATTTTGTGAAGAACAGTGGAGCCATTTTCTCTGTTTTTTAATTTTTAGTTTTTGTTTGACTCATTATCTGAACATCCAGTCAGATCTGTTCATCAAAGTTAATGAATATTTAAATATCAAGCTTTAAAATACATAAATAAAAATAACATGAGTCATTTAAAAGATGAGGTCATTTTTCAATAAACAATTTATTAAATTTGTAACTTATATAGCTTGATTGGAGAAAAAATTAATAAATTGTTAAATTATATAAATCAAGTTGATCAATTAAAAAATGTCTTTTAAAATAATGTAAAGAAAAATGATCCATTTCAAAAATAAATATATGAATAAATGAAATAAGACATTTATAGAAATAGCAACATAAAAACCAAGGATTTAAAATTTTATTCATTTAATTTATGGGTAAAATTAAAATGAATAAAATATGAAATTATTAAAACTTAAATTAAAAACTGATCTACGAATGAATGAAGTGACTTTATTCCTTCAGAACCAGATAAACCCAACAGAACCAGCTGGGACGAGATCAGAACCGGAAGAGAAAAAAACACTCTGGTTCTGGTTCAGACCCGGTTCAGCTCCGCCTCCTGCAGCATAACGACCCGCCCTCCGTCCCCCGGGGTCAGAGGTCAGCCTGCTGTTTACTTAGGCGCTGATCCGGTTACAGACCTAAACGGGCCACACGCAGAACAGAACCAGCTGCACCGTTCAGCGACTTCTGGATCCTCAGAACCGGGTCAGAACCAGAACAAAATCTGTCAGAATTTTTAACATTTCTGAAACTTTTTCTTCTTCTGGGTTCTTTTGTTTGGTTCTGGGTCCAAATGAGCCTCGACGCGCTGCGGGACAGAAACACGGAACCAGATAAAAACAAACCCAAAACGAGACCACAGAGAGAATGTCATTTTCTTATTATATAAAAGAAATAATAATAATAATAATAATAATAATAATGAATAACTATCCAGTTTTTCAAAAGCATTTTTTAATTAGATAAGAAAGTATCGGATCATATTTTCGTCATTACATTATGGATCTGACATAAGATGCAGATCATTCATTTTTTAACTTTGTATTTTATTTAATTTATGTCTTTAAATTTAATGCTTCCCTTTATTTTTATGCAGATTATTTGCAGTAATTTTGTTTACGTGTCAGACGTTTTGTAGTTTAACTCCCTAACTGAGAAATATTCATTTACATCAGACTAACTGATGTTTTCAGGGATTTTTAGAAAAATTATGAACTGTTTATATGAGAACAATGTTCCTCCTGCAGGCGGCCGGGTCGGCGCTGCGGGTCCATGCGGTCCGGTTCGGTCCGGGTCAGGAACTGTTCGGGTCGCTGCAGGCGTTCGTGGAGGAGCGAAGACTCAGAGCGCCCTTCATCATCACCTGTGTGGGCAGCGTTACCAGGGCAACGCTAAGGCTGGCAAACGCCACGGCAACAGATACTAACGAGGTACGAGAAGGAACTGTTCAGGTGAACTGGTTCATGTTCAGTGATTTGTTTGACATGTGAACAGTTCAGTCCAGCTGTCTAGGTTCTGACCCGGTTCTGCTCTTAGGTTCTGCAGCTCAGCGGTCGCTATGAGATCGTCTCTCTGGTCGGGACGCTTAACAGTGATGCCCACCTCCACATCAGCCTGGCAGACGCCCAGGGCGCCACAGTGGGCGGCCATGTTCTGGGCGACCTGGAGGTCTTCACCACAGCTGAGGTCGTCGTGGGCGACGCCGTCGACCTGCAGTTCAGCAGGGAGCCCGACCCGAGGACGGGCTTCCCCGAGCTGGTGGTTCTGACCCGACCAGAGGTGGAGAGAGCAGCCTGAAGAGGGTTCTGGACCTGGACCTGGACCCGATCCCAGTCCCAGTCCCAGTTCCGGTCCAGGACCCGGTTCTGTCTGATAAAAACGTCCCTGATTAAATCACTGTCAGCTTTCTGTAGCCGACCCAGAACCTGTAGCCAGCACATCAGAACCAAATCAGAACCAATCGTTTGTAAACTGCGTTTCTGTGAAATGATTGACCTTTGACCCCAGCCTCTCTGTTCCTGCTGAGCTGTGAGCGGTTGCTATGGAAACTGATGAAATAAAAGCCTGTTGGTTTGTTTTGAAGCTGATTTTCATGGATGAAAAGTTTCCAGATTTGTGTGGAAACTTTAAATGGCCGCTTTGCTTTGTTGTCTCTCGCTAAGATAATCCTAAATCTCCCAGCATGCCTCCTTCCCCCCGCCCCATTAAAGCGGAGCTACAAAGCTGTTTGGAGGCGTTGGTGGTCTGCGGCCCCCCGGGGCCCGTCTTCCTGATCTGAGGCGTCTGATCAGGCGGGCCGTTGTCACGGCGATTACTGCTCTGAGCTGCTTTCAGCCTCATTTCACATAATAAGAGCAGCGGACATGTTGGCTCACTGCCTCAGAGATCGGTGTTATTGATCCTAAATGATCGCTTTAACCTTCAGCAGATCTGCTGCTCTGAACTCTGGCTCCACACAGTAACTCTCCTCATGACCTTTGACCTGCTAACTAAGTCTGTCTCTGAGCTTCACTGGGAGGCTTTCCTGTCTGGTTTGGAGATGACCCTTGACCCCTCTCAGGTTGATGAACAACAGTTGCCTCTGTGAGGAGACGTTTCCTCTCAGACAGGCTCTGCTAAAACTAGAATATGATGCGTCATGTGTTGCTAGGCAGATTTAATTTTAGATTATTAGATACCAGTGGTGACCAGTAGCTGCTAACCCTACGGCACTAGACATAAACATTAGCTCTGCTGATGCGCTGTGCTACATGGTATTTAGCTGAAGCTAATGCTATAGCGCTAACTAGGGTTGCTACCTGTCCCTTAAAATATGAAATCGTCCCGTATTGGACGCAATTTGTTCCATATTGTTACTAAGTGTAACAATAATGACCAAAATAAAACAGGAAATATTTAGATCAGCTAAATTCTCGT